TCCCGGTCAATTAAACACACCCTGAAACAATATATCATTCAATATATACAGCGTCATACAATATACCTGAGGCTTAAAAACAGTCCATTACACAAATTAGGTGAAACAAAGGACAGATCGTATGACAATACAACAAGGGGAGATAACTCCTTGATTAACTCATATCTTCAAAATATATTCAAATTAAATATGACACAGACGTCTTAATGCAATACGCATATCAAATAGAATAGATGTGATACTCAGTATCACATAAACATACGGGATGCAAAATAGCATAGTTCCTACCCGGTGTATGGCACTAGGGTGCACACGACGTTAACCAAGCTCCGCCAAATCAGATATACCAAGCGTACCTAAAATCCGTGTAAACAATATGCAACATTAATTCTACAGTAACTACAAATCAACATAGCTATTATCATTACCAACACCTGGAACACATCAAAACAACTTAGGCTAAAACCACATTCGTACTTACATTCACATATACACTATTCTTCCTCTCATATATGAAATCAGTCAATCAACCACTCAAACATGCAACGATTCACTCATAGGGAAAATATAATTACCTGAATGAGTTATTTGATAGTTATTTGTATTGATTCTATACTCTGAAATGCACTAGAACCTGACTGAAGTGTTATTTACATTTAGGTTAGATTTACCATTATTAAGGTTGAATTTACTTGTTTTATTTATATCCACACAATACAAATATAACATATAAAGTGTACACACTCATAAACCAATGTAAGAGATTAAACTAACCTGTGAGGTATTTGCATTTGTTTATGACTCCATGGTATTACAATCCTGATGGTGCAAAGAGTGACTGTGAAGTGCAGCTTTGAATTAGGAAAGAGGGCAAGAGTTTGAATGATCCAATCGGTATTCATTAAATCAGGCCACATAATAATGTGGTAGCCCTACCTATCTACCCTTAATCATATTAGAATGAAACTAACTATAGAGCTAATAATAGACTCAACCTTCTGTGTCCTTATAATTATAGCCTGTATCAAAAATGACCAAACCTGTTGATAGAACAAAATACATTCATTAGTTAAAATCAGAAATAATACACCTGCAATTCATAATGCAATTGTCATTATACAAATATCAATGCAACACTTAAATGACTTAAAACTAATATTTACATAACTATATAATACAATAATATGTATCTGCCACATATGTGTGAAGCTATGTCACACATCATGTAAATACAATTTCACGCATCACTTCATTACTGCTTACCCAGCTCAATCTGTTGTATTTATATGTATTTTGCCATTGCCGTTGTCAAATAATGTAATGTAATTGTATGTACTACTCTCCAAATCATTGGGGGAAATAAAGAGTATTCATTCATTCATATCCCACTTAGCATTACCATGAAGCTCCAGTGATATCTGTCCACATGGTTGTTGCTGACCGACGTGTTGTGGGGTCAGGCTTGAGTCAGTATAAAGTTCATCTTAACTGGTATTCTCAACTTGAGCAATCTGCCTGCAAGCGTTGTACCCAGAGTGAGTGAGTTGGGTTTAACACCGCTCTGAACAGTATTCCAGTTATATCACGGCGTGTCAGTTTTATGTGGGAGGAAAGCCCGAAGTGATGCAAGTCTCAGACGTTTACCACTTCGATGTAACCCACAGGTATGGTGCTGACAAACCTTAAACATAATCGGAGCGAACTGGGATTCGAACCCACTATCATAGGTTTCTGGCGTGCCCAAGGGACGCAACTCTGCACAGCGAATCGCGGCGCCCTTTCTAGATAAAAAAACCTGAGATAATTAACTACGCCGCTGTCGGAACTATTGACGATAAGCATGGCGGTCCTATGACGAGGCTGTCCAGTAGTTGTGCGTGAGGGTGACACACACTCTGTCAGTCCACCCAGTGTGTCAGGCCATGTCACGGCGGGGATAGGCTTCATATGCATGACATTGTATTTTCCTAATGTGACGAGTCGAACCGAAACAAAAACTTCGATTTTTTCTCGTTACTTCCATTATTTACTCGTTATTTCAATTATTTTCTCGTTGCTTCGAGTTTATTTTCCAGTTATTTAAATTATTTTCTCCAAATTTCGAGTATTTCACGTTACTTCGATTATTTTCAAGTTTATTACAAAGTTTCGAAATTTCGAGAAAACAATTGAAACAACGAGAAATAATCGAAGTAACGATAAAAAATACTTGAAATTTCGAGATAATAATTTAAATTACCAGAAATGATCGAAGTCACGAGAAAAAACTCGAAATTTCGAGAAAATATTTATAATTACGAGAAAACAAATAACTGATGCTACCAAGGTGGCCCCATTAGGCTTTCGTAGGTTACGTATGTGAACATGGAGGATTTAAAATCTCACCCTGCCAAGAGGCAGGGTACTCCTCTGTGCCCAAATAGAGTGGTCTAGATGTCGAACGCGGACTTGTTTCCCTTAGCCGTCCTCGAAATCTGTTATCGTGGGTTCGAATCCCAGATTCGCCTTTGTCAGCATCATTTTTATTACCACCATGCTGGATATTAGCCCCATTTCATACTTTGCTGGTACTATTGTTAGAAAAGAAATATTTTGCATTTTAACTCGAACGTTACTTCTTGCAATTCTACTAGTTGACAATTAGTAGACGATTGACAATAGATGCCCAATTTATTCCCACAGATGGGTTTGGGGTCAGTCCTGATGGCCATGTTCCTATTTCTCAAACAATCCATTTACATATGAACTGTGTTTTGGCGAGCGTTATCCCTTTGTAATTGAAACTGACGGGTACTACGCGTAAAGTATACCAAGACTGGCCTCAAGACCTCATCGGCATCATGCATCCAAGTAAATCGACCATCAACACGTTTGGAGTTTGTCCTACAGCCGTAGTCTATGCCGGCTGTAGCCATTTTGTATGTAGACTGGCTTTTTTTCAGCTACATTTGCACAACCAGATATGTATTAATTTGATTCTTAATAGAAGCACAATTATTGCTTCTTGCAATTTCTAGCACTTCCCACCCCAACCCCAACCCCAACCCCAACCCCAACCCCAACCCCAACTCACCCTCACCCCCGAATATCAAATGGGTAGTCCCTAAGCAAATTCCATAACCTTGAAATCCCACTGATTCACTGAGACCATTAGTTCCCACCTAACAACGCCTAATGCTTGTCATTTGTGCGCTACGGTCATACATTGTGTCATCTCGCTTACAAAGCGGCAAATTCTCACCATTCTGTTAGGTTGATGTATTGGTGGCATTTTCATGCGTTTGGAATTATTGAATGTGGCCACTATATAGAAAAAAATGTTATGGGAAAGTATTTGTTGTTGCGCTGCCTGGCGCTCGGCTTTAAGGGGATAAAACAAGAACTGGTCGGTTCGGAGTCAGTATACTGTGTCTGAGTGGGGTATCAATGTTAAACAAGCATGGTGTTTCAGTGGTTTTGTATTATAAAAAGGGGGCGCGGGTGGCCCAGTCGTCTAAGGCGCCGCGATTCGCTGTGCAGAGTTGCGTCCCTTGGGCACGCCAGAAACCTATGATTGTGGGTTCGAATCCCGGTTCGCCCCGATTATGTTTCTAGGTTTGTCAGCACCATACCCGTGCTCACTTCGGGCCTTCCTCACACATTAAGCTTACATGCCGCGATATAACTGGAATACTGTTAAAAGCGGTGTAAAACCCAACTCACTCACTCACTTGTATTATAAAACCGGCAAATCTGGACAAAATGACAGCAGTATCGACACACACGAGCTTCTTTTTCATAAGGAATTCTGAAATAATATAAAAACTTTAGTACATATAACCCCACATGCACACCGTTAATATCAATAAAATGAGTCATTTGAACACAGATAGCTTACAAACTAGACTTTGCCCTTTCTTCAGACACTCATATATAAACAGGCAAGATAAACAGTAAAAAGATTGGACTTGACAAGTATATAAAAAGGTGGGTGTGTCGATTTACGAGTGCTCATTGATGTGAAACAATATTTACCTGGAGAGATACAAAAACCAATGCACGTTTCTGTATGTCCAAACTCGCAAGAGAATGTCAAGATCTAGTGCAGCAAGCACGAATGGTCATGTTCATAATCTGTGATTCTCAAATCTTGCGCACTAATTTGATAAGACAGTATCTTAAACTGTTTAAAATGCATCGGTACATGGCATGATTAAGTGCGTGAATGCCCCGACTAAACTAAGAGAGGAACCCTGTCATCGGCACGTTGAATGCTGAGGTTGAGAACGCCACATTGTCACAAGTTAAATACAATGATACGTGTAACGTTTACTCGATAACCGTGGTTAGACATTGACCCAGCACTCCACGTGTGACGACTTCATTGACGCCATCGGTTCCACACTGCTGTCCTTCCCCGACGGTAGCAAGTGGCCACCAAGGCCTATAATGGACACACGCGTTGTTGAGTGAAGATGTCCAAGGCATCGTTCTCGGCATCAATGACGTCATCATGTTGTTAACAAGTTGTGTACAACCATCATACTAAGCTCATAGTCTTAAACAAACAAAATATATCTGGTCTTGCGGCTGAAGCTGAAACAATATCTAATCTCGATACTAAATATCTAGTCTCAATCCCATACTATTTTGTGGTCAGCCGAATAGACAACGTAGACCTCAGTGTATCTGTCTATTGGATAATGGACGGTTACTTTGACCTCACCCCCAACCCAAATAGAATTTACACTTGACGGTGCCCAGACGTCTGCATCAGTCACCATATTGCTTACTGTCTTGTGTATTCACAAACTCGGAATGGCTCAATCCAAGGCCAAAATACAAAATTTTAAGTCGAGTTACAATTTTCGGTAAATGTACCGGGTCGTACCCGGGTTGCCAGTGTGTCACGAGGGATTTTACTTATAAACTATACCATAGATAACAAAAATGCTATATTTAGCATGACGTTGCCATTGCAAACAGGTTCCTAAGTCCTGCTGGCATACCATTGGTATCACAAAGCTAGCGACAACTGGTAGCGACGGACGCGTTTAGTATCGCTCGTGTGTCATCCATATCAGATCCCTCCGACGCCCTGTGTTTGAAATGTAAAGTACTGGACCTCTTTGAAAGGATCAGTTAGAGCGAACATTGAACATTGTGTGAAATTGGATGAACTTTCGCCATGATTCGCTACACATTATTCGCTGTTATGGTGGTCGTGTTTCTGTCATATGTTTCCGGGCAAACCGACTTGGCACACAGTTACACCCCGGACAAACAACCTCTGAATGAGACGGCGTTGTTTGTGGCAGACGCTTTATATAAACACCCAGTTCTTTTCCGTAAACTTCTCAAGATCGGCGCTGCTGCTAAGCCGTTGTTGAAGCTAGGGGGAAATGACCCCAAACTTGGCATGTTTTGGAACTTTGTTCTGGATATGTTACCAGGACTGCTGCAGTCGCCGGAAACCGCCAGCATCCTGGAAATCCTGGCCGACGAACTCCACCGAGTCAACATCACTGATGTGTATGGCTTTCTCCAAGCTCATAACATGACCCAAGACAACCCACAGGCAAAGCAGATGGTGAGCGGCGCCATTTGGAAAAGATTCGATAAACTCCGAACTGTCCGGAGAATCCTGACCGGCAATTCTGCTCGTCATTTTCTTCCCATGACCAGCAACGACACCATCACCGATGTCTGCTACAACGACATGATGAACTTCATGGACGCCATGATCAGCGCTCAAATACCACCCAGAGACGCCCTTAACTACACCTTCATTCCCTGGGCGCTGAACAGTAAGTATACATTCTCCCGTGATCCCAGATCAGGGCCCACCTTCACAAAGCGATCGTAGCGCTAATAAGATTCGTAACTCCCATAGGTACTTTAACACAGGCTTACAAGAGTCGCAGCTCCAAGATCGCTTTGTGCAAGTGGGCCGAGTAAGATGTTCACCGCATTAAGATGATCTTCTCAACAGTAAGTAGAAGTTCGGCCCTAATCCAAGACCATGTCTTACTGTATTAAGAAAATTGTCTAAGTTTTACCTTTATCCATATAGGTATTTTAAAGATGAAAATGATTTAATCTAACTGTTCAAATGGAAAAAAGAAGAGGTTCCCTGTGCATTCTATTGAGTGAGACGTACTTTTTAACTGCTGCGCCAAATTCACACGTTACCATAGAGGCATGGAGGGAGACCACTCACAGTGTTAACTGTTAACTGCATAAAAGTGTTATTAATGGTATTTACCTGTTTACGTCAAATAGAACACAACCACTTTAAGATAAACCATTAATGGTATAGAAAGCATCACAGTTTCCATTCTGACGTTATTATTTAAAATAAAATGTCCACGCCAGAGATTATCCCCCTTAACAGATTCCATTGGGCGTAAACGGAAAAATAGCGGTGAAAATCAGAGAACACCAGGTGTTCGCGAAAATAACGTTTCACCTTTGCCATTACGTAATGCAAACCCTCGTACAAGGGTAAACCATGCACACTTTACAACTTTGTGTCTAATTCCTCAAGATCAATGTTTACCAAATAGCTGTAATAAAAGACAAGTTAATTCTAGTTAACTTCAGTTGTTTATTTGTTTGCAACTGGTCAACTTTTCACTTTTCCCAGATAGTGCTGTAAGACATTCGTCATAAAAATCAAGCGAGTTCGTGCGTTATGGGGCGATCTTTGTGTTCCAAGGGGCAATAACTCGCCTTTTAAGATGATATAAGCGACGGTCCAACCTGTCGTTTCCGGTCTGGTTTTCACATTATTAGTTTAGAATATCAACATTTGTTAGTGGTTTTGCTTGTTGAGTTTATAGTCGACATATCACTGATTTCAAAGTCGTGCAGACCTAAATTACTTTGATCAACCCCAAAATAACACAAGACCAACGGACCACGATTTATTTCATTTTACTGGCCCCTAAGAAAAGATATTAAACTCGGACCAGCGGACCAGTGTTAGTGTCGAACACTGAAGCATCCTTAAAGGGACTCTGAGATGTTCATCTCCCCCTGCACATATTACCCTTAATCCATGCACTGACGTTTCCACTCTCCTTACAAACTTTACCATAATGTTTGGTACTTCCAAGATGTGTTCATCAAGATTATACTGTCTGGATCAAACCATTCACTTATTTCAATTTTTTTAGAGCTGCAAGCTAAGAGTAATTACGGATCATATGTTCCGACTTTATATGTTGATTTCTCAAGGCCATGTCTATTATTACCCATCTTTCCCAGGCAAAGGAGTTAACTGACTATGTGATATGAGAGTCGGAATCTGATTGGTCAAAAAGGGGGACATAGAAGGGACATAACTCGTAATACCCACTGGTGACGATACGATCAAGCCCAGAAATTCCAGCGTAGTTCTTCAAAGGAGGAAACTGGACTTTTACAGTCAGTTAACGCCCTTTACTCAAGAAGATGATTATTACCCAAATAAATTATATCCCATATGGGGCATCACTATACATCGTGTCACCTGTTGGATGTTCTTGGGTAATGATCAAATAAAACCACTTGACACTCCAAATTACAGGTCATATGACCCTCACCAAGGCTCGAAAATACCTATCCTGTTCGATGTAGCCCTGACTCTCTTCCTGAAATCCTGTGGCGTGAAAGACTACCCTGGTCGAGCAAACGTCCGTACACTGTTATATCGGGCACGCACATTCACTGTTTCCTCGGGTACTCGTGTATATCTTTCCTGTTACCAAGGGCACTGACAAGTAAGTTCACTGTTACCTAGGGCAGTGACAAGTAAGTTCACTGTTACCTAGGGCACTGACAAGTAAGTTCACTGTTACCTAGGGCACTGACAAGTAAGTTGACTTTTACCTAGGGGACTGACAAGTAAGTTAACTGTTACCTAGGGCACTGGCAAGTAAGTTAACTGTTACCTAGGGCACTGACAAGTAAGTTAACTGTTCCCGAGGGCACTGGCAAGTAAGTTCACTGCTACCTAGGGAACTGACAAGTAAGTTAACTGTTACCTAGGGCACTGGCAAATAAGTTCACTGTTACGTTGGGCACTGGCAAGTAAGTTCACTGTTACCTAGGGCACTGACAAGTAGGTTAACTGTTACAAGGGCACTGACAGTTAAGTTCACTGTTACCTTGGGCACCGGCAAGTAAGTTAACTGTTACCTAGGGCAATGACATGTAAGTTACCTGTTACCAGGTCACTGACAAGTAAATCCACTCACTGTTACCCAGGGCACTGACAAATAAGTTAACTGTTACCTAGGGCACTGACAAGAAAGTTAACTGTTACCTAGGGCACTGACAAATACGTTAACTGTTACCTAGGGCACTGGCAAGTAAGTTAACTGTTATCTAGTGCACTGACATGTAATTTAACTGTTACCAGGGCTCTGACAAGTACGTTCACTGTTACCTAGGGCACTGGCAAGTAAGTTAACTGTTACCAGGGCACTGACAAGTAAGTTAACTGTTACCTAGGGCACTGACAAGTACGTTAACTGTTACCAGGGCACTGACAGTTAAGTTCACTGTTACCCTTTGGCACCGGCAAGTAAGTTAACTGTTACCTAGGGCAATGACAAGTAAGTTGTCTGTTACCTAGGGCACTGACAATTTCGTTCACTGTTACCTAGGGCACTGACAGGTAAGTTCACTGTTACCTAGGGCACTGACAAGTAAGTTAATTATTTCCAAGTGCAAAGAAAAGTTCCGAAAAACACAGCTTAACTGAATAAACTGAATATGAATTTTCTTACATCTGTCTGTAAATAATCGAGTCTGGACCAGACGATCCAGTGATTGACATTATGAGCATCGATCCATTCAATTGGGACACGATGACATTCATCAACAAAGTCAGCGAGCCTGACCACCCGATCCCGTTAGTCGCCTCCTACGACAAGCACGGGTTGCTGGAGGCCAATTCTAACCTTGATCATCACGAGAGAATATGTTATCACGTGAACAAACTCGGCTTGATTATAACAATCTTCGAAAAGACACACGTTCAAGGTCCCACAGATAAAACTTATTAGAGTTTTAGCTGGACCATATTAATCTCAGCTGTTTATTTGACTTGTGCTGAGCTTTAACATCGGGTCAGCATATGGATTGCGACGGAGGGAGAGAATGGCTCACCTTGTGGCATGTCACCCCTCAATTTGTTCACAATCCTGCACGAGAAGCATCGTCATCTTTATTTGGAATGTAGGAGACACATCCTAACCGGCTACTCTTGCATGTTCTGGTATCGTATGACTTGCTAACAGCTTGTGGCAAGACACACTCAGATTGTTGCAACATCGTTGCCCGGAAGACGCCACAACCGTCTTCCAGTCTTCACGAGCAGTCCACACTTTCACAATGTGGAGTCAAGGTGTGTGTTTATTTCTGTCGGTGGTTTGTGTCTCCGGACAAGCTGATCTAAGTAACAGTTTCACGTTGGACCAACAACCATTGAATGAAACAGCATTGTTTGTGGCTGACGCTCTCTACAAGCATCCCAAATTGTTCCGAAAGTTGATTAACATCAGCTCTGAAATTGGGCCATTCATGTCATGAATGTCAGAAGTAAGATGAGGACGCTTCAAAGACTCCTCACTCTTGGTAGTGCCCGGGACATCCTCCCCCTCAGCGTCAACGACAGTATCACGCCAGGATGCTACAGCGACATGATGATGGCCTTCGTCAGTCAAAAATAATGAGTGTCAGGCAAGGAAATTGTTATTTTAGGTCGTCAGTGCCCTAGGTAATCACCGCGATACTTATGAATGAAAAGTGAGGACTGGAATCATATTCCCTTGGGTTGTAAAAATTACATACTAATACAATGCTAGGGAGTAGGGCTTTGGACATGATACCTTGGGTCGTGAAAAGTAGGACTTGGACCATGTTTCCTTGGGTCGTGAAAAGTAGGAGTTGGACCTTATTACCTTCTGCTGTGCAAAGTTGGACTTTGGCCTTATTACCTAAGGCTATGAAAAGTAGGACTTGAGCCATATTATCTTGGGTCCTGAAAAGCGAGTAATTAATACCCGCCCTCTCATCGATATCAAGCGCCATTTGTTTTTACTCGAAAAAACACATTTTCGTCGATACTGTCCTTTACGTTACATATACTAGATTATGTCAAGAAAAGCATCAAACCACTGCAAAACTATTGGTCACGCCCGCAATTGTAGCGTCCCTGTAGTACAATATGGGACTGCTTCAGATCTTCACACCCTTGTGTCCCCCGCCCGCAATTCAATGATTGTCCTAAGCCAAGTAAGAGGAGGATGGGGTGGGTACAATGTGTGACGTGACGGATAATGTCATCGTACCCTGACGGCGTGGGTTGCTGATCATGCTCGCAATCACTGGTTTGTCTGACCCAGACTGTATTATTTCAGGGCCGCAGTATAGAGCTGGAATATTTATTCAATCACTCACTTATTTTCAGTGCTGGACTCCTACGGCAAGCCGCCTAGTGGTATTTTCGAGGGAAATGTACACTGGCTGGGCGAACCGAAGGAATGTCGGAGCATACACGCGCAGTTGGCTCCTGGAGTTATCCTTGGTAACAAAACGCTTACCTCCCCTATCGACTTCAAAGGAAAATACTGCCGGGCTGTGTTTCATCATCTGCCTTTGGTTGCGGACATCTCTCAAATGGTATGTCAACACTTTGAATGTAACGTGAAGCCTCGTTACTCTGGACATCATTACGTCCCCATTTGACCCGTGAAGATCCGGGAAGAACAGATCTTCAGCAACCCATGCTTGCCGTAAAAGGCGACTATGCTTGTCGTAAGAGGCGACTAATGGGGTTGGGTGGTCAGGCTCGCTGACTTGGTTGATGCATATCATCGTATACTAATTGCGAGGATCGATGCTCATGATGTCAATCACTAGTTTATTTACAGACCTGCGTTATATAGCTAGAATATTCTTGAGTGCAGCGTTAAACAACTAACAAAAAATATAACGTCCACAGTTATCGTTTTCCCAAGCCTATCTTAACCAACTGACCATCTAGATTAACGAGGTTTCGCTATCTAGAGATATATACGTTATATCCTGAGACAATGGATTATATATTGGTCGAAATATGCATGCCTTGTTGAGAAGTGAGTGTTTTTATTTTCTTTAGTCAGCTAATTCAGCAACTCCACGCTTCTTTGATCAGCTCTTACAGGACACAGGTCACAAATCAGGCGAGGTTAAGCAACGTTGGTCTCGGAGAGCACTTGGATGGGAGACCGTGTTCGCCAGATTGACTCCTGGGACTTGCTAGGGATTTGGTACTGCCCCACAGTGAAGCACACGCAGCACATGTTGTGTGTCCTTAACGCAAGTGACTCTGTTCCAATCATGCCTCTGTTCATCCAGCACTGAATGGGTACCCAGAAGGATGAGATGGTAATGACGGTAAACCTTCCAGCGCCTCACATCCACCGTAATAAAAATTATATAGCGCTTTCTGCATGCCTTGTGTAGTATGATAGCGCAATATATATAGGAGTAGCAGCAGCAGCAGTAGCTCTCTCGCATATTTGGAGTCTCTGATCCGTGTGTTACCTTTATGTATACTTTCGGGGGCACGGGTGGCCAAGTCGTCTAAGGCGCCGCGATTCGCAGTGAAGAGTTGCGTCCCTTGGACATGCAAGAAACCTATGATTGTAGGTTCGAATCCTTGTTCGCCCCGATTATGTTTCTAGGTTTGTCAGCACCATACCCGTGCTCGTGGGTTTCACCGAAGTGGTAAACGTCTGAAACCTGCATCACTTGGGTCTTTCCTCCCACATTAAGCTGACACGCCGTAATATAACTGGACTACTATTAAAAGCGGCGTTAAACAAAACTCACTCACTCACTCAATTATGTATACTTTCCTGTAAACAAATTCAAGACTGGAATGTTTTGCTGGGAACATCTAGGAATTCACTACAAAAGCATGATTCGTTTATCCGGACATTTGTTAATCCGGACGATTTCATCTTGAACGGCAAAGTAGGATAAAAGAACGTTCACTGTATTTCATCAGTCATGTGAGGTATATAACCTGATGGATCTAAACTGAGGGCCAAAAGAAACGTTACCAACATTAACTGATTTGCCACTTTGAAAGAAAGATGCCAACCTGTTCAAAGAACACATCTCACGAATACAGCCTTCATGTTCTCTTTCGTTCTTTGGACGTGCTTTGCGGATTTTGGGAGATATTGGTGTTTTTCAGCAATTTTTTAAAACCTTCTTTCCAAAATTATCGTGCAATTTGCGGGTATAAATTACGCACGGATCTGTTCCCTATCATTGGTTGCGATGATTAACACCAACGAACATGCCAAGACTGACCGCTGTCCAGAGGGAGAGAGCCATAGGTATGCTGCAGATGGGAGCGACACAGAGAGAGGTTGCCATTTAACATGAACTGCTCCAAGATGACCATTACCAGACTGATCGCACGTCTCCGACAGACTGGCAGAACCGCAGACAGACCACGGAGTGGCAGACCAAAGGTCACGACCCCGCAGGATGACGCCTTTTTACGGGTCCTTCATCTGAGGAACAGATTTCTTACTGTGATGTCATCAGCTGCCAACAGCTTAGGACATCCGGTCAGCAGGCAAACAGTGACCAGACGACTACGACATTATGGCCTCCGGGCTTATCGCCCTTTCAAGGGCATGACCTTGACCCGTCAAAATCGACGTGCCAGATTGACTTGGTGCAGGCAAACTCAGCGATGGCAACAAAGGGAATGACGGCGAGTGTTGTTTAGTGACGAGAGCAGGTTCCAACTCTTAATACCTTCGGACGCGAGTTTATCGACGACGTGGTGAACGTACGGCTCCTTGTTGTGTCCAGGAGGTGGAACCGTACGGGGACGGAAGTGTGATGGTCTGGGGCGGCATTTGCGGGGACGAGAAGACGGAACTTGTCATCATCGAAGGCAATCTGACAGCACAACGCTACATTGACAATATCTTACGGCCAGTGGTTCTTCCTTTCATCCAGCGTCAACAACGGACGGTGTTCCAACAAGATAACGCCACACCCCATAAAGCCCGTATTACAAGTGACTTCCTCAACGCCAACAACGTGACTGTCCTGCCGTGGCCAGCTCAATCACCAGATCTGTCACCCATAGAACATCTCTGGGACGTCGTCTTCGGAAACGTCAACATCCTCCCTTCACGAGACAAGCGTTGATCGTTGCCCTCCTTGAGGAATGGAATCGGATACCTGCATGAGACGCTTGTCTACTCAGTTCGACGCCGCATTCGAAGATGCATTGCCGCTCATGGAGGTCATATCCCGTATTGAACGGTCTGGGCCGTCGTCACCTTAAAGTTGTAACCAATGTTGTTGATCGAATATTGGACGAATGATCCCTTGTCAAGAAATGTCCTTGAAGGAGGTCAAGGACTTTGTTGTTGAATTAGTAAACGGATTTTACTGTTCTGAATGATGGATTTCTACAATACAATTGTTATTGCTGCTTCTAATTGTGTTGGTCATATTCTATCCTAGAAATATCGTTGGTAACGTTTCTTTTGGCCGTCAGTTTATGTCAAATATTCATCAAATCATAACAAAACCGTATAAGCTTAAGTCAGGGCTGTTGATTAACACCACTAACACAATGGTGTATGTTCTCGTATCTGTTCCAAGAGATGAACATGATTAACAGTTTGGTTGTAACACAAAGTGTTTATTGAAATACATAAATCTGCTTCACTTTACGTTGTTATGAGGCAGAGCCGGTACAGAGTGCTGACTCGACAGATATGAAAACCATCACGCCTCTGTTATATAACAAGAAGGGAAATCAATATTCCAGACTCCCACTCCCGACCTGCTACAATTGCAGATACACGGTATGTTAGGTTGTTCTTTTAACAGATCCCTTCCTTGATTGTTTTTATGCCCAATCCTAATATTTAATATTTTTATGAATTATTTTCTGATGGTCGACATTTCTATTTCAAAATTTATGCTTGTTTGTTTGTTTGTTGTTTAACGCCGCACTCAGCGATATTCCATCTATATGACGGTGATCTGTAAATAATCGAATCTGGACCAGACAATCCAGTGATTGACATCATGAGCATCAATCCACGCAGTTGGGGTACGATGCAGCATCAACCAAGTCAGCGAGCCTGACTATGCGACCCCGTTAGTCTCCTCTTACGACAAGCATAGTCGCTTTTTACGACAAGCATGGGTAGCTGAAGATAGATTCTCACCCGAACCTTCACGGATCGATTAACAGGATTGGGTGGTCAGACTCGCTGACTTGACGTATGGTCAGGCTCATTTAAGCCCTGCATCACTTCGGGCTTTCCACCGACATCAAGCTGACACGCCGTGATATAACTGGAATACTGTTAAAAGTGGCGTTAAACCCAACTCTCACACCCCTATGCATACATGCTGCATTTGAACCAAATACTAGTATACAACCAGGCAGCATATTTCTGCAGGTGTCAAAGTGACGAGATATTCAGTGATAACATCCAACGTCTCGTCCTCAGAAGGTCGTTCCATTAGCTAACAAGTTGATGGCTTAGATTTTCTGGGATTCCCCCCAACCTTGGCAGGGAGTTCATTCACCAGATTTGGCACTGTCAGATTTCCACCTTGAGGCATGTGATTGGGTGACGCAATCATTTAGACATGAAGTATTGCTGAAGCCCCATTCTCATGATTCCACTCCGGGTTCAATTCTCTACTTTCTTTCCAGGATGACACAGTGACGTGGGGCGTGTGTGTCCCCGATACGTGTAGCGAGCAGGACGTGGAAGAAATGTTCCAATTAGGTAGGTGGCGTTACCGAATACCATAAAGCGGCGGGGTTAGGGGTAGCCATCGATCGATCACTCCAGGCGCTGTTTAAATCCCGAGCAAAACTTAAGGTACCGCCTCCGTGGTGGAGTGGAGAGAGCGTCTGCCCAGTCGGTGGTTCGACCCCCGGTATCGTCAATTAATTAAATGAAGTCAGTGTACATACTGAAATAACTCATAAGACAGGTTTAAAATGATTTGAATGAAACTTGTTAGGTCTCAAACATTATCGGTTCTGAAAACCTGTTTTGTACAATTGACGTTATGAAGATACTAATCGAGGTAACGTAGTATTTATTAATAAAACAAATCCTATGTGCAGCATGTAGGCTTGGATTTATTATTTTGCAGGTTTCATGAAGAATTTCCAGACGACTCCCGATAATGTCTCATGTTCAGACATCCAGGAACCTACTGGTCATGTGCCCGTCACGCCCCGGACTCCCACGACCGGTCCCCCCACGTGAGTACATCACATCCCAGATGCGACCCGTGAAGATCCGGGTTAGAGTAGGTCTTCAGCAACCCATGCTTGTTAGAGGCGACTGACGGGATTGGGGGGTGAGGCTCGCTGGCCTGGTTGATTAATGTCATCGTGTTCCAACTGCGTTGATCGAAACTCCTGTCAATCAGTGGATTATCTGGTCCGGTTCAGAATCGATTATTTACAGACTGCCACCACATAGCTGGAATAATGAGCACCGAGTGCGGCGTTTTACAACAATCTTGACCCGTTCTCCAAAACCAACTTAACGCTGCTATTATCGCATCTTCCCGAGGCAAGGGACTAAGCTGACTATAAGTCCAATTTTATGCCGAACTGGGCTTGAATTTCTGAGTTATATTTTTACTAGCCTAACGATCGCGAGTGTATGCATATTCCAGTCAAAATCGCGTATCGGAATAGACATACGATTCGTAAACATGGCAACTTCCATGCAGATAAAGCTCGATTGTAGTATTTAAGTGCAAAGCATGTGTACCGCCACCTTGGTTCAACAGTCCAAATCTTTCATGTTTGATCAAATTGCCCATGTGATTTGATGCACTTCGTGGAGTAAGACCGCTTTATATAGATCTTCATCATCGATCACATTGCATTGCCTTGGCGCTGCCACTTGGTTTGAAACAAATGCAAGTGATATGAAAGGTGGAATCTGATTGGTCAATATGAGACGCAACTGGTAAAAGTAGCCAAATTCGACAAGGGTGGAAATTTATGAAGGTCGCATCTCGAAGATCGTTGATTAAATGGTGTCCAGCTGAGAATGTGTTTAGTTTAACGCCGACCTCGGCAATATTCCTGCTATAAATAGCAGTCTGGACCAGACAAACCAGTGATCCACACCGGTGGGGTACGATGCAGTCAAGCCTCCGAGCCTTACTACCCGACCCTTGAAGATCCGGGGTAGAATAGGTCTTCAGCAACCCATGCTTGCCGTAAAAGGCGACTGTGCTTGTCATAAGAGGCGACTAACGGGATCGGGTGGTCGGGCAAGGTGACTTGGTTGGTGCATGTTATCGATCCCAATTGCGTGGATCGAGGCTCATGATGCCTCCAGTCTCGATTATTTACAGACCGCCGTCATATAGCTAGAATATTGCTGAGTGCGGCGTTAAAAAAACAAACATTCCGCCACCCCTTAATTAAGCATAGGTTGCTGGGAATCATGTTCCCGAGGCAAGAACGTCAACTAGCCTATTTATCAAAGTCTACATCTACCCTTGCCACATCAAGCCCACTTCCCTTTGCTTAATATGGTAATAGCACACATCAACAGTCAAATCAAGGAACGTTTCACCATCCGAAAACATGGACGTGAAGACAAGTATTTGCCAAGTCTGTCCAAGTTTTATATCGACACTGCCAAGTACTGTACTTGTAAGCGACCCGTGAAGATCTAGGATGGTACTTGTAAGAGGCGACTATCGGGATCGGGTGGTCAGGGTCGCTGACTTGGTTGATGGATGTCATCGATCCCAATTGCGTGGATGGATGCTCATGATGTCAATCACTGGATTGTCTGGTCCAGGCTCGATTATTTACAGACCGCCGTCATATAGCTGGAATATTGCTGAGTGCGGCGTTAAACAACAAACAAAACAAACTTGTAAGCGGTACGATAAGTCATTCCTTTAAACACGACTAGTACACATTCGTATAAAAATGATTTACCGCTGCCTGTCATTTTTTACAAGAATGTGTTTTTCCATCTTAAGACCCCTCAACGATTGCCTTTGTGACGGATGAAATCGCGAATGTTTTCGTAATCTGATCGACCAGGTCCTCGTCTGTGGTTGTCGCTATCTGTGTGAAGTCATACGAACAGTGATCTGATTGGATATCGCGTTCTCATTTATATACAAGGGGCTCAACTCGTGATCTACACGAGATGGCGACAGGACCAAGCTAAGAAAAATGGTCTTGACGTGGCAAGGGAAGACACTAGGCTTTCATTTTGGCAAGTGGACACGCTTGCCTCGGGTTGGAATTGGTCTTCAGCAAACCATGTTTGTCGTATTAAAAAGACGACTGAGGGGGTCGGAAGATCAGGCTCGCTGACTTGATGCATGTTATCCCAATTGGCCGATGTTTATTCAAATCACTGGATTATCTGATCCAGAATATATTATTTACAGACCACCGTCATATGGCTGAGTGCGGCGTAAAACACGCTAGTATGCTGGCCGTAATACCTTATGCGTGGTACGATGAAATGTACATATAGTTGTCACTTGCAGCACTACATTTTCCAGTCGTCCCAGTGTTGCAGCGAACTCCCTTTTCACATCGTGTTCCGACTGCAAAGATCGAATCAAGCCAGACGAATGGATGAACTGTTTCTTCTCCAGTTTTGACACCGACAGTGAGTACATGTAGTTATCTGCCTTGACAGTAACAAGCTCCTAACAGCGATACATTATTGCCTGGCCCCTTTACGAAGAACGGATAGGCACTGCTCTGGAAACAAACTGATGTGTGTAATTAATTTATCTCCCCCTGTCCTTGATTCATGACGAATAGTCGACCTTGAACACTAGGATCATATCTCTGCAGGATAATACACCATTTAATATTCCGCTACCATATTCGAATGACAACGCTACAAATAGCCGTCCAATCGCCATGTTGGGTTACTCCCGTCTTTGTAGCCAGGAAGACATATTTTCCAGCTTCATTTTAAACAGTCTCTTAATTCGATGGCCCGCCCGTAAGAGGACGTGAATTTCAATGTAGATTAATGCCGAGGATTGGATATCCAAAACGTCCGCAATAAACATCTCGTAATTGACAGCTAACATCGTTACAGATAAAAGCGAAGTTACATGCAATATGGATTGAAAGCAGCTATGTTTCAAATCTGAGCACAAGTCACTTATAGCTGTCAATATTGTTGCCTGTTCACCTCAAACTCAGTTATCCGCCCCTTTCCCCAAAAATTATGTACTATCTAGTTGGTTGTTTAACGCCGCACTGACCATTATTCCAGCTGTATGACGGCGGTCTGTAAATGATCAAGTCTGGACCAGGCAATCCAGTGATTGACATCCAATGGGTTGCTGAAGACCTATTCTACTCCGAGTCTTCACGGGTCCAACCTGTGATAAAAGTGTTATCGTCTTAACGCTACGGAACGGAGCTTTGAACTTCGTAAACTTGATATTAAGAGTCCCCAATGCAAAGAATAACCTCATGAAGGACTGTGATCTGAAATGGACATCAACTCAGACTATTGTTGGAACGAGGTAATGAATGATGTCAGCTTCAATTATTTGCGACAATGCGTTCATATGGACCTTCTTGTTGGTTTAAAAAAAACTAACAATGTACCTAAAGATTTACTTTTTCAGAAAATGGCAACATCAGCAAGCGTGAATGGTGGTCCGAGAGCCACAAGCTGGGGCTGGACACGACTGACCAGGGCCAGATAGCGCGAGCCTTCATCCAGCTGGACATCAACAAGGACCTCCAGATAGACGCACCTGACCTCAAGTATCTCTTCGCCTTCTCTGACGACAACGGTTTGAATTGTTAAGGCTATGCATTTCTCATGTGGAGGGGGCGCCGCGATTCGCTGTGCAGAGTTGCGTCCCTTGTGCACGCCAGAAACTTATGATTGTGGGTTCGAATCCCGGTTTGCCCCGATTATGTTTCTAAGCACCATACCCGTCATCTTCCCGACTATAAAAGTCCAGTTTCCTCCCTTGCCAAACAAGGCTTGTATTATGGCGTTACTTTTAGGCTGGACTAACGAGTCTATGCATAGTCCAATCGAAATCCGGTTCGTCAACTGTCATGCAGAGATTGATTGAAGGATTTGCAAAACATGTGGACCGCCAACTCCTTTTGTAAACAAGGTGCTCACGTGATGCATTTCGCGATGTAAGACCCGTTTTATCACAATATAGATCTTGATTATCCATCAGATCGGCCTGACTGGGCGCCACCATTTTGTGTGAAGCAAACGCAAGTGATACGGGCAGTGGAATCTGATTGGTCAATAGGAGAGGCTTAGAAGGGACATAACTGGTAATGGCCATTGGTGGCGCTACGATCGAGGCCAGTAATTCCAGCCTAGTTCGGCAAGGGTGGAAACTGGACTTTTACAACTCTTGGGTTTCACCGAAGTGGTAAACGTCTAAAACCTGCATCACTTCGGCCGTTCCTCCCACGAAATGTGCTGGAACAAAGATTCGAGATGAGTCACAAATGAGTCACGTTCGACTTGATCACCTGTCCACCCCGGTTACATCTTTCTCGTGGCCCTGTCGAGACGGGTACTGAGTTGCAGAGAATGTTTGTGAGCTGGCTTCTCATTCGCAAACGTCCACCTGTGAAATGGATGTCAACTTCTTTATTATCAACACAACGTGTCGGAGTATATGCTTACTCCTCATGGGTTGTTAGTTATGCAAAAGTTGCCTGGAGTCTTCAGTCGTGACATAAAACCGTATGTTGCACGTGTTTTTTAGATCGAAATGCTATATAATGTAAACACCTGCTCACATATTGGCTGCGCCCAACGGAGAATTATATGCTCCTCGAAAGTTATGTTTATAGAAGCTAGCTGCATACTCTCCAGTACTGTACAATTTCGGTTTCTTTTCAGGAGATGGGTTTGTCAACCTCCAGGAGTTCAGCTACAACTGGCAGTCTGTCGTCTCGTAGACTTCAATCACATCACCTGTCAAGATACCACACTGTTAATAAACGCCGTTTAACGCTTGTAATTTGCCTGGTCCATGTTGAACACCTGACTTTCACAATCCCTCCATATGTAGCGGCGAAAACATTTCCGAGTGATACATGCTTCAACAACCTGAGCTCTTGCAGCAGAGAATCAAAACCACAATTCCCCCATTCTTAAGGTGTCCTCACGCAGATTCAGCAAGTAAGATAACAACTTCCCCAGTTACGAAAATCGTTATCTCTCAATTGGCATTACTACCAGAGAGGACCAAATAGGTGTTCAGCAACCCATAAAAGGCGACTAACTATCTCAATCACTGGATTGTCTGGTCCAGACCGCGGCGTTAAACAAATAATTTGCATACAGACATTTCCATAACCCCAAAAACATTCCTCAACAAAGACTCCAAGGCATCCGAAGCGAAAATACTCATTAAGTTCGGAACAAGTTGCCGTTTGGTTTTACGCCGCTTTTAGCACAATATTCCACCAATGTCACGGCGGGGGACACCAAAAATGGGCCTTCCCACATTGTACCAATCGCCAGTGTGAATGTTATTGCAGTACCTGTGAGTTGAGTTTAAGCTGATATGCTGTTAATGTGGGAGGAAAGCCCGAAGTGATGCAGGTCTCAGACGTTTACCACTTCGGCGAAACCCACAAACATAATCGGGGTGACCTGGGTTTCTGGCGTGCCCATTGGACGCAACTCTGCACCTCAGACTACTGGGCCACCCGCAGTACCTGTGAAGGGAAGCGTACACAAAACTTCCATATATTTAAACAATGGGTTTTTAAGTCAACTTTAATTTGTTCCGCACTCCGACAAAATGCCAACCACATGTCATTTGAAAGCCTTTTTGATGGCACCAAAAAGACGTTAGCGTGCACATGATATCAGCAAATGTCAATCAGAATCCAACATATACGGGTCCTACCACATGCTACTGTAGGTCTCGCGAACACCGGGAAAGACGGCTCCAACGCTGTTACGTCATGGTCCGCGCTTTGTGAAGTTACCGGTAGGAAAGAAGTTATACATGGGGGATGTGATGTAAACAAACTATCTTTGTCTGAACATTTTTAACTATAAATTATTCCACTAAACATGTTTGTGTTACTCGGGCACAATCATAGATGGGCGACCTTAGCGCTATGATTATCGTAAGCCCATGTTAAAGTATGGGGGTTACGATCACCTTAGCGCTAACAACGCCGTGTGGAACCGGGCCCTGGACTGGTGTACCTGCCCTTATGTGCTTCAGCTCCTCGCATGCAGCCGCTAGCGGTGCTGTCTGTCGAGAGGGGCGGGAACATGCCTGCAGCCTACCACTATAGGGGAAACGTTAACCCATTTCCACGGAGCGAGTTCTGCCTGTCGGGAGGGACAGGGGCAGCACTACAGCATATCGCTATGCGGGAAACCTTGACCCAGTTTATGTGGAAGAGGTATTAGCACTTTTGGACAGCGTGAACATTTGACTGTCGGGCTACAGGAGTAAACATTAACATTAGGGAGGTAACTCTCAGAAGTATGGTTAAAACGTACAACATTGTTTGTTTCAATTTTAAACAATATCTGCATGTCTCCACTGATCGATCTACTTCATTATAAAATAATATTACGCAATCTAGCTATAACTTTGAAAAGATAAATCATGAAAAAATATTAATTACTCTACCACTTAAGATATACACCATTGTCAACAGTACCATGCATAAGACTATGGTTGTGTCAACGTAATACCCCTTGTTTCAGGAAGTCTTTGTTGTGAAAACATAAGTTTTGATTCCATAATCTTGTTTTCTACAACAAACATTTAAACTGAAATATGTAATTTTCATATTCTCATTCCCGATCCTGAGCGAGTTAGTTGGGTTTAACGCCTCGTTTAACGCCGCTTTTAACAGTATTCCAGTTATATCGCGGCATGTCGGCTTAATGTGGGAGAAAAGCCCGAAGTGATGCAGGTCTCAGACGTTTACCACTTCGGTGAAACCCACGAGCACGGGAAGGGTGCTGACAAACATAGAAACATAATCGGGGCGAACCGGGATTCGAACACACAATCATAGGTTTCTGGCGTGCCCAAGGGATGCAACTCTGCACAGCGAATCGCGGCGCCTGAGACGACATGACGGTACCAGATGCAAATTACAATTCTGGGTTACACGTGTTCATAATGATAGTATAGGTACTTGCACCATCAGGAAGGTATGCTACAAAATGTCTTTGCGCCGTGTTGATCCTTAGGATCAAAGCTATCTTTCTTACCTTCTGTGAAATATACTCAACAACAAAAGTTCCTGTGACACCAATATTTTAGTGTATTTTTCAAACAAGTAAAGTTTGATTTTCAATATTGTAGTACATGTATGGAATCAAGTCACAAAAACGCAACTGCTACAGAAAAGCATGCATTCCGTGCAAAAGTTGACTTTTATGCAAGCCCCATGCATTTCACTACCCAAGGATGGGTATAAAAACAGGTGCGTTAACGGGATTCCATATGCATTGTTTAGCATCGTGCTGACAACAACCACTCAGAAAAACAACAAAATTATGCAATTATTCAACATTACGAAATGCCACGCCTTTCCGAAAATGAGCGTCTGCGAGCCATTGGTATGCTTGAAGCAGGATCGAGTCAACGTGATGTTGCAAGACAATTTAACAGAAACACCATTTGATGTTTATAGCAACGTTGGCAACAGACGAATGCAGCCAGAGACTATCAGTGGCAGGCCACGCGTAACCAATAATCGACAAGACAACTGGATTTGAACAACACACCTATGAACTCGATTCCAGCCAGCAACAGTGACTGCAAGAAGAATACCTGGCCTTCGACGAATATCTTCACAAACCGTACGCCGTCGCCTCAGATGTGCAGGGATTGTCGCCAGAAAACCCACCAGACGTTCCATTTTGACAGGAAACGACCGTCAAGCACGTCTACAGTGGTGCAGACAGCGTCTACGCTGGACGGCCATGCAGTGGGGACAAGTTCTATTCACTGACGAGTCACGTTTTCACCTCAGCCACAGCGATGGACGGATTCGAGTGTACCGACGTCGAGGTGAACGTTACGTCAATGATTGTGTCATGGAAGAAGATCGGTTCGGGGGCGGCAGCGTTATGGTTTGGGGTGGGATTACCGCGACGAGATCATCGGCCCTGTTCTACCGTTTTTGCGTCGCCATGGCCCAGGTATTACCTTTCAACATGACAACGCCCGGCCTCATATTGCTCGACTTGTTCAGAATTCTCTTCAACAAAACAACGTGAATGTCGTCCCCTGGCCGGCTCGCTTCCCTGATCTCTCACCAATCGAGCACATGTGGGATGAGATGGATCGGCGCCTTCGACGTCAACCACGTGTTCCACAGACACTCGAGGAACTTCGAAACATGCTCCAGCAGATCTGGACAGATATCCCACAGGACTTTGTGGGACGCCTGGTCCATTCCATGAGACGAAGATGTGTTGCTTGCATTGCAACCAGAGGTGGTCACACACGCTATCGATTTGTAAATTGACATTTTGGCATGTTCATGGTTTTTTTATGAAATCACGCATTTTCTGAAGTCAGTATGGCAAATTAAACCATTTGAACACTTACAGGAGTCTTATCTGTTTTCAGATCTGAAATTGTTTCAGATTTGGTAAAAAACATAACTTTGCATTAAATCTTATTCAATTTCACAGGAACTTTTGTTGTTCAGTATATAATCAATGTATGGTGGCTGAGAGGGGCCATCGCACTCTCGTATGGACATGTGGCCATGATAGCCGCTCTCGGTCGCCATACAAATGTATTACACGGGTTACTTGTCCGACATGGTTTCATCACACACAGACCATGTAGTTTTCAGAACAAGTAATGTTTAACTATATCACATCACAAACAGAACATGCAGGGTTTAACCATAAATTGTACCTCATAGGTAATTCTAAACTATGCAAAATTGACGCTTACTTGTGCATGGTTTCCATGCTGTGCATGGCTCCTTCATATATAAAAAAATACTATCTGTAATTATCTTCTATGTACTGACACAATGAAAACAGACCTACTGTTGCAGAGAGTGCCAACCCCCTTTTGTTACGCGGGATTCGGGGTCTACTGAGGATATTTGGGACTCATCAGTTCTGTAAGCGGGACGCAAAGATTGGTTTGGTTTGTTGTTTAACGCCGCACTCAGCAATATTCCAGCTATATGACGGCGGCCTGTAAATAGTCGAGTCTGGGCCAGACATTCCACTGTTTTCCAGTGATTGAAAACATGCGCATCCATCCACGCAATTGGGATACGATGACATGCATCAACCAAGTCAGCGAGCCTGACCACCCGATCCCTTTTGTCGCCTCTTACGACAAGCACAGTCACATTTTTCAAAAAGAATAATGTTGTACGTGGGAATGTCCTTTACATATTTTATTTCTGCGATATTTTTCAAAAATTTAACTTCAAATCATACACTTTTCTCAATGCTTTTGAGAGCTGTGTTATATGGTAGTCGGGATTCAATGGTGAGCAATGACATTGAAAGTGAAAAATTAGATCATACTATTTGGGATTCATAGGATTCGGAGCGTTGGCGCCCTCATTGCATGTTTAGAAAAACAATTTACACTTGCAATCATATCACACAGTTCAGCATTCAACCAAGACTCACTCAACATACCTGTGAAATATAACAAATAAAATGACATACGAGGCATTTGTCAAACACGGTGTGTGCTTGGACCCCAGCACATGGAGCTTGTCGTGGACTGGCATGTGACCTGCCTCTGCAGCAGGTGACGGACTGCACGTGCTGGAGTCCAGGATGTACCGGCCGGTCCACACGTGAGGCGGGCTGTGCAAGCCAACATCAGGTACTTGCAAGAAAGGTGTTGTGAAAAGTTCGATATAAATATTTGGTGACAAATTTTGCCTGCGACATAAATAACTGGCTTCATTAGTGTGTCTTCGGCCACTTCGAGATTGGGACATTGCTCACGATAGCAGTCACTTGTTTGTCTACCTCCGATTC